ATGTGGCCTGGGAGTGGTGTTCTGGCAAGATGCATCGTGACTCCAGACAAGAGTTTCACACTTTCCAACGTTATGATTTTTTGCGCCCTAGCCTGGCTAGGACGAAACGAACATGAAAGCCACGAAGTGCGATAGGGTTGCAACTTTCCAACGTTATGAATGCCTTTTTGGAGCTCTGGTGCAAGACTTCCCCACAAAAACGACGCCGTTCGTAACGTTGAAGTTTCTTGAATAAAGAATATTTGAATATTCTTATTTAAGCGTTTCCAACGTTACGAACGGCGTCGTTTTTGTGGGGAAGTCCTGCACCAGAGCTCCAAAAAGGCATTCGTAACGTTGGAAAGTTGCAACCCTATCGCACTTCGTGGCTTTCATGTTCGTTTCGTCCTAGCCAGGCTAGGACACAAGAAATCATAACGTTGGAAAGTGTGAAACTTTTGCTCGGAATCACGATGCATCTTGCCAGAACACCACTCCCAGGCCACATCGTGAGTGCCCGGAGCCAACAGTAGGCCACTTTGTGCTCTTCGCGTTCCCAGAACACCACTCCCAGGCCACATCTTGGGTGCCCGGAGCCAACTCTAGGCCATTTTGTGCTTTGCTTTGCGTTGCTTTGCATTGCTGAGACCCCTGAGACCTGCGACACCTGTCGGTCCTGTGGGACCTGCGAGACCTGCGAAACTTGTGGGACCTGTGGGACCTACGACACCCGAGGAGCTTGCAACACCAGTGGGACCTGGGGGACCCCTGTGGCCTGTGGGACCCGTGGGACCTGCAAAACCTGTGGGACCCGCAACACATGTGGGACCTGCGGAACCAGTGGGGCTTGTCGGACCTGCGACACCCGTGGGACCTGGGGGTCGTCTGTGGTCCCTGGAACCCTGTGGGACGCCTGAGAGCCAGCCGAAGCAACGCGTGAATGCGGCAGGCATTTGAAGGTGGCAGAAGCGAAAAGTGTCGGGAAATGTACGAGCTTAGCATAGTCTTGGGGCCCGTAACAGCGTAGTCTTAGGGCCCGTAACAAAATGGCAGCCGTGGATGTAAAAAATTAACGCGAAACCCATCCGTAACATTGAACTCCGCCATTCAAAAATATGGAACGCAAGCTAGGCATGAACGGCCCCAGGTTGAAAAAAGTGTTTCCGTGTTTCGCGTTTATTGTTTACATTTTCGCGGGCAGCTGCCGATCTTGCCCTACCTGGAACTCGCGGCCTTTGAATGGCGAAATCAAATGTTATGAATAAATTTCGCGTTTATTGTTTACATCCACGGCTTTCCAGCAACGCTAACTTAGTATCCCTTATGCGCTACTTACGTGATATTGAACAAACGAATAGTCGCCAGCGTGGCCCCCGAACGCCGATGTCTTGCAATCCGCGCGGTGCAATCTAGGCGGTGCAACGCATGCTATGCAACCTAGGTAGCGCGAGCCACGCGGTGCAGTTCATGCAACGCACAGCGACGCCAAGCAACGCTAAGCAATGCAAAGCAACCAGACCAAAACACAAAATGCCTAGAGCTGGTTCCGGGCACCCAAAATGTGGCCTGGGCATTGTGTTCTGGGAACACGAAGAGCACAAAGTGGCCTACTGTTGGCTCCGGGCACTCACGATGTGGCCTGGGAATGGTGTTCTGGCAAGATGCATCGTGATTCCAGACAAGAGTTTGACACTTCCCAACGTTATGATTTGTTGCGTCCTAGCCTGGCTAGGACGAAACGAACATGGAAGCCACGAAGTGCGATAGGGTTGCAACTTTCCAACGTTATGAATGCCTTTTTGGAGCTCTGGTGCAAGACGTCCCTGCAAAAACGACGCCGTTCGTAACGTTGAAGCTTCTTGAATAAAGAATATTTGCATATTCTTATTTAAGCGTTTCCAACGTTACGAACGGCGTCGTTTTTGTGGGGAAGTCCTGCACCAGAGCTCCAAAAAGGCATTTCGAAACGTTGGAAAAGTTGCAACCCCTATCGCAATTCGTGGCTTTCATGTTCGATTCGACCTAGCCAGGCTAGACACAAAAAACGCATAACGTTGGAAAGTGTGAAACTCTTGCCCGGAATCACGATGCATCTTTCCAGAACACCACTCCCAGGCCACATCGTGAGTGCCCGGAGCCAACAGTAGGCCACTTTGTGCTCTTCGCGTTCCCAGAACACCACTCCCAGGCCACATCTTGGGTGCCCGGAGCCAACTCTAGGCCATTTTGGTGCTTTGCTTTGCGTGCTTATTGCTTGCTGGATACCCCTGAGACCTGCGACAAAGTACCGGTCGGTCCTGTGGGAACCTGCGCGAAAGCGAAAACGGTGGGACTTGTTGGACCTACGACACCCGAGGAGCTTACAATACCTGTGGGACCTGGGGGACCCCTGTGGCCTGTGGGACCCGTGGGACCTGCAAGACCTGTGGGAGTGGTGGGACCCGCAACACATGTGGGACCTGCGGGGCCAGTGGGACTTGTCGGACCTGCGACACCCGTGGGACCTGGGGGTCGTTTGTGGTCCGTGGAACCCTGTGGGACGCCTGGGAGCCAGCTGAAGCAACGCGTGAATGCGACAATTGAGGGTGGCAGAAGCGAAGTGTGTCGGAAAATGCGCGAGCTTAGCGTAGTCTTGGGGCCCGTAACAGCGTAGTCTTGGGGCCCGTAACAAAATTGCAGCCGTGGATGTAAAGAATTAACGCGAAGCCCATCCCTAACATTGAATTCCGCCATTCAAAGATATGGAACGCAAGCTCGGCATGAACGGCCCCAGGTTAAAAAAAGTGCTTCCGTGTTTCGCGCTTATTGTTTACATTGTCGCGGGCAGCTGCCGATCTTGCCCTACCTGGAACTCGCGGCCTTTGAATGGCGAAATCCAATGTTATGAATAAATTTCGCGTTTATTGTTTACATCCACGGTACTACTGCTACTACTACTACTACTACTACTACTGCTGCTACTACTACTACTACTACTACTACTACTACGACTACTACTACTACTACTACTACTACTATTACTACTACTACTACGCTTACGACTACTACTACTAATACTACTACTACTACTACTACTACTACTACTACTACTACTACTACTACTATTACTACTACTACTACTACTACTACTACTACTACTACTACTACTACTACGACTACTACTACTACTACTACTACTACTACTACTACTACAACTGCTGCACTACTATTCTACTACACTACTACTACTACGACGACTAACGTACTAACAACTACTAACTACTGCTACTACTACTACTACTATTACTGGCAACAGCTACTGCTACTACAACTACTCCTACTAGCTACTACTCCTGCTACTGAGCTACTACTACTGCTACTGCTACTACAACGACTTCTATTACGACAACTACTATTTCTACCTCTACGACAACTACGACCACTACTACTACTACTACTACTACTACTACTACTACTACTACTGCTGCTGCTGCTGCTGCTGCTACTACTACGACAACTAATACGACTACGACTACGTCTACGACTGCGACTACGTCTACGACTACGACTACGACTACTACTACTAGTATTAGTACTAGTACTACTACTACTACTACTACTACTACTACTACTACTACTACTACAACTACTACTACTACTACTACTACTACTACTACTACTACTACTACTACTACTACTACTACTACTACTACTACTACTACTACTACTACTACGGCTGCTGGGCGAGCACTACTCAGGGAAAGCTGTCGGAGTTGCGCGCGGAGTCCTCGGGTCTGCGCTGGGCCCCCCTGGCGGCGCCTCCAGCGCTGCCCCCGAGCGCGCTCCTCGCTCCCTCTGAAAGTAGACTCTCCCCAAAAAGTGTCTGCATGGAAAGGTTCTTGGTTCTTTTCTCAGGAGCTGGGCTTGCGTGGCGGCTATGTCGGCGCCGTCGCCGCCTCGTGGCCGCCTGTGTTCTGGGCCTCTGTGGCGGTCTGGCGGTTATGTCGTCGCCGTCGTCGTCTGGGCACTTGGGGAGGTCTGGCGGCTATGTTGTCGCCGTCGCCGCCCCGTTGCTGCCTCGGGGCCGCCCGTCTTCTTGGCCTGTTTGGTGGTCTGGTGGCCATGTTGTTGCCGTCGCCGTACAGTCGCCGCCTTGTCGTCGCCACATGTTCAGCACCACGTAGTTTGCACGCCATAAAGTGCGCAACGTAGTTCTCTTTTTTCTTCTACAGCGGACAAATGATCTACCACCCACCCTCCCCGGGGTTTGCCGTCCGACTCGTGTTCAGCTATTCACACACGCTTATGCCGCATTGCTTGTTCTAGATATGGACTCAGCCCACCCCATGGGAGCTAGCATCCAGCCCCCCATTTCATACTTAACAGATAATGCTATGCGAGCGCACTCGTTCATCAACAACCACTCTTGCTCAATAGTTCTTGCAACAAACGGGACCAAGTCCACACGCGCGCATCGTCGCGCGCGTATGCCGACATCCCCCTAAAACGTGAGGCTTAGTTAGGTTCTGAAGGTCGAGCGCCCCGAACATATATAATCTGCAACTGGTTACCAACATGTTCTTGTTTAGAAAGATATGCGCCCGCGTTCTTGCGAGTTCTAACGGGAGCAGTCGGTATTTCAACATGTTCATCGATGCGGCCAAGCGGGCGTCCCGCGCGC